TTTGATGAACCTTGATGAATATATGCATATATACTAATTAGTATTAATAATTGCATAATGATTAATCAATTCCTGGCTTTCCGACACATGTCTCAAGTAGTAATCATCTTATTACAATGATGTTAAATAATTTGTTCCTTTTTGGCTTTTCAACTGACATTTCAATTACTAATCAATACATTTGAGTGAAAATTGCACACATCTAATCAGTTTGGAATAATAATCTGTGCATATTAATAATCGAATTTGCATAATGATTAGTAAATTGTCGGCTTTCCCACTGATACCTCAAGTAAAAACCATTTCTTTACAATTAAACTTAATTGGTACATATATGCAGTGTCTCAGAGGTTCATAGACAGCTTTACTCAAAATTTGGTAAATAGTTGACACATAATAGTATGCATATGCCCCAGATTTTGTTTCTTTTCCGATACAAACTGTCCAATGCAAGTTGATTTTTGTTGAGATTCTTTTTTTTTGGTTTTGCAAATCTGAATCATTTTTCAATTTGGTTCAAACATTATCAATGGATTTGATCAAAAAATGTTATGATTAAAGTACATGAACGGAGGTGGTTGCAACATTCTCACAATTATTGTTATGTTTTTGTGTTCTAAATTTAAATCATCTGAGACTGAAAATCCTTCCATTTTTGTAGAACAGATGGCATAGAAACAGTTTTCAATGACTTTGGGTACTTTATATAAGCTTAGAATTTGTGCATGTACAGACAGACAATTATGTACATAAATTTATTATGAACTAAAAAACTGAATGTATTTGAAAAACATCCGTGTTTGTGATATAAGACATAGTATGAACAAGAATATGACTTAATATTAAACACCGTACTTCAAATATATAACAAATAACTTATGAAACTAACATATAAAAAACTCATATTACTGTAGATCTGCCACGATTTCAGACTAGTGACAAGCCACAAGTATCAGATAGTCAATCTGACCAGCTTACTGTGACCTGGAACAAATGGACTACTGATGATATTGGAGATGGACCTGTTGAATCTTATAAAGTATACTACAGAGAGAGTGTTGAGAGTGACTGGATATCAGGTCAAGTTTTATCAGTCAGTGATTCAAGTCAGATGAGTTATACATCAACTATCACAGGATTACAATGGTCTACTCAATATGAAATTACAGTGACTGTTAAAAGACCGGGTCCACTTGGTGAAGGAAGTAAAGACACAGCTATAACAGAAACTACATTGTGTGCAAGTATGTGGAATTTTTTAATCGTATTCTTGTGTCATTTTTTTGGAAAATTAATTACTCAAAATGTATTGTAATTAAAAGTCAAGTTGAAATGACATACAACAGTTTGGCTTTTTATACGGCAGTGTTATGAATGGTGTATTTGAGATGTGTATTGTTTGAGCAGGTTGTAGGTTATAAACGGCATGCTCATGGTAGGGGATACTGGTGAAAAAGTGTTTTTGTGACATAACAATCTCGCTTACCTGTTCGACGATATTTTCCTTTTTCTCATTTTGATGATCCTTTTTGGTGAATATTTCTGTTATTGATATACATCATCAGAAAGCTTGCATTTAGTCGCGATTACAGTCGCACATATACCAGCAATGTTTGTCTAAAGGATAACTAAATGTCAGATTTCACGTTTTTTAACACTTTCAGTTATGCAAATCGCCTGTGACTACATAGGATGTTGTATACCTTTCGGATTTGTTTTTTCATCTTCCAAAATGTGTTGCAGATAAACAATGATAAAGAATATGCAGTGCTGTATTCACATATATTTATGCGATGTGTATCAGATGTGCGGTTTTTTTTTTGTAGCATGAGAATGTCTGAATAACAGATTTTTAACTAATTTTCCTTCTGTTGTACCCTCAGATTTATTATTGAAAATACCAGATTTCCATGGTAATATACACATGTATGTGAACATTCATGAAAAA